TATTTATTTCAAAACCCCCTTCCCCTCCCCCTTTTCTGATGAAGGGTCTCGGCCCGAAACGTCAGCCTCTCTGCTCCTATGATGCTGCTTGGCCTGCTGTGTTCATCCAGCCCTGCACCTTGTTGTCTCGGATTCTCCAGCATCTGCAGTTCCTACTATCTCCGAGAATAAAAGAGTGTTGTCATTACTCCAGTTTTGGAAGAGCATGGATTTTGTTGCTGTGGGCTGTGTGTTTCTTCACAGGAGAAAGTCCAGCGCAGGGAATGACTCAGATTCAGCAAAAGGCGTTTCAATCCCTGATCTCTCAATTAGTCTTCATGCGTTTGCATGGCACTACCTGAAGTGTGAGGCACCGCTGATCTACACCATGTGCACTGGAGCCAAGCAAATTTCACTGGGTCTGGTAGAAATAGATATTAACTGTTCCTCTGTTTGTTTAGGTGGATCCTGGTGCAGCAGACAAAGAACAAAGCAGGGGTAAGTTTTGGTGTCTGTATTCCAGGAGCAAGGATATTTGTGAGTGCGGTGAGTCACATGGTCTCCAGAAGGTGGAAGGTCCTTATTTGGGATGAAGGGAAATTCCAATGGAGCAGCTTCTCCCAAAGTGCACATTCTTGATTGAATTAGGATGTTGAATGTTATCTAGTTAACCAGTCATCGGACCAGACCCAAGCCCATTTCCATTCATGCTCATTTATCTGCCTCATTTGGTTCTCTTTCCCTTTATTCGAATCCCCATCTCTTCCAGCTTCATCTCAGTTTTTCTTCTCAAACTCACTGACCACTGCATTCAGTCATGCCTCACACTCTTCCTCCCTCACTCATCACCACACTCTCCATCACCGTTTCACTCACTCACCCTCAGACACACTCACCCATTCACTCCCACATTTCCTCACACAGTCACCGCCTCACAAATTCATCCCTTCTCTCACTCACTCACTTATACATTCACCTCCTCGCACTCTTCCTTCCTCACATCTTCATTCTTCACAAAGTCATTGCATCACACACTTAATCCTTCATGCAGTCAATTCCTAAATTAAACACCTTAATCTGAATGGTGGGAGGAAGGGATCATGTGAGAAGAAAAGTGATAAATGAAATGAAACCAGTGAAGTAATAGACAAGATCGTGACCAGGATAATGATAAACAGCATGTGACAGGAAATGACAGACCATGTAAACTTTTGAGAGCACTGACAGGTAACTTCAGAGATTACAACGTAATAAAAAGGCATAGTCCATAATATTCAGAAAATCATGGATCAATTGTTAGCACAGATAGAAATGAACATGTCAGAGCTAATAGCCATTACAGAGACATGGTTGCAAGGTGAGCAGAGCTCGGTAATAAATTTTGGGCAATATTTGACATTCAAAAAGACAGGAGGCTAGGAAAAGGAGGTGGGGTAGATCTGTTAATTAAGCATGTTATTAGTATTGTAGTAAGAATGGAGATTTGCATCTAATTCCATTCTTATTTCATTTCCACTCTATATTTAACTGCCTTAATGTCAGGAAATACTCCACAGTATCAGCCCTGAACCCTAGCTTTTACTCAGCTTGTATCTGTGGGCCTTGGGCCTCCATCAATTCCAGATTTACAAACATAAGAACATACAAAATGGGAGCAGAACTAGGCCATGTGGTCCTGTAAGCCTGCTCCACTATACAATAAGACATCGGCTGATTTGTTTGTTTTTTGAATTCCTCATTCCCACATTCCTGTGATAACCCTTGATTCTCTACCTAAAAAGAATCTATCGACCTCCACTCCAAAAATATTATGTGACCACGCCTTCATCACCTTCGAATTTTGAGAATTCCAAATTTGCACAACCTCTGTACTGAAAGGGTGACTCCTAATTTTGAAACCATGAGCCCTGGCTCTGTTCTGATTCACAAGAAGAAACGTGCTTTCCATGTCAATCGCTAATTCATTAGTTTATATTTAGTACAACCAACACCTCCCAATAGGTTTTTGCACTGCCAGTAAACTTTATAATGCTGATAAAACTTAGTCTCTTACAGCAAATTCCTTCACCAAATACCCCACTTGGCGCACTTCTGCAGTATCCCTCCTTCCCCTCTGCACCCGACTCCCACTCCAAACCAAATTCCCGATATGCGTAATCAGCCACTGTCTCACTCAGCAGAAGTCTCACTGTCCTGTTTGTTCATGAACAGGGATCTGGATTCTTATCATCTTCCTTGTTCCTTTGAAAGGCTCCCTCTACAGATGTCCATAGTCTGTACTCAAACTATGCCTGAGAGTGTAGCAATGTTCAGACCCTGCAGACGGAGCTGTTTGTTGTCACCGGGTTTCACGAGCAGTATGTTTTTTATTTCAGGGTCGGCCGCCAGTCGCACGAGGAAGAGTACAAGGAAGCTGACACCGTATGCCCACCTCACTGTGAAGAAACTGATTAAAACTCCTTCTGGTAAGTTCCATCCTGTATTCCTGAGGAAGAACCGGGAATTGTCGCTTGCCTCCCACGGCCACACCAGGCGTTACTTCATGTTTGCTACGAGGAATCCTGCCAACTTCTTCAAGCTGCTCTATGCCTTTCTAATTCCATTGCACCCTGAGTGGGAAGGCCTAGGGACTGGGATTCATCAGCTGTATCCATCACACTCTTCTGTCACCCTCAACCAAACAACCTATTCTCCCCCATCTACAATATTCCACAAGGAAGTGCTCAAAAGGGGCAGAAAGGCACAAAACATTTCTAACACTTGCAACAATCCTTCTCTATGATTGATGGGGTACTAAATCATGAGGAGGATAGCCTTGGATTACAGGAGGATATAGACAGGCTGGCCAGATGGGCTGATCAGTGGCAAATGGAATTCAATCCGGATAAATGCGAGGTGTTACACTTGGGCAAAACAACCAAGGTAAGGGAATACATGGTGAATGGTAGGACCATGGGAATCTCAGAGGATCAAAGAGACCTTGGCATGCATGCAGACCAGCCGCTTAAGTTGTCAGAACAGATGAATAAAGTGGTTAAATGGGATACTTGCCTTTATTGTAAAGGCATAGAGTTTAAGAGCAGGGAGGCTATCCTGGAACTGTATAAAATGTTGATCAGGTCACAGCTATAGAGTATTGTGTGCTGTTCTGGAATCCATATTGTTGGAGCGATGTGAGCATTGGAGAGGGTGCAGAGGAGATTTACCATGATTTAGCCTAGGCTGCAATGTTTCAGTTATGAAGAGAGATTGGACAGATTGGGGCTGTTTTCCTGAGAGTAGAGGAGATTCAGAGGGGATATGATTGAGATGTGTAAAATTATGAGGGGCATAGATAGGGTAGGCAGGGAAAACTGTCTCCCCTTGGTGGAGGGATCAATAGCCAGGGGACATAGATTTAAGGTAAGGGCAGAAAGTTAGGGTTAAAGCTTTTTCATCCAGAAGGTAATGAAAATCTGGAACTCACTGTCTGTAGGGATGGTAGAAGTGAATACCCTCATAATATTAAAGAAGTATTTAGATGTGCAGTTGTGATGCCAAGGCAAAAAAGACAATGGGCTAATTTCTGGAAAATGGGATTATAATAGTTAGGTGTTGTTTTTGAATGGCGAAAGGCCCATTTCTATGCTGTGGATCTCTATGACTGTGACTTTATAAGTTGGGGAGGTTATGTTTCAGTTTTAGAAGCCGCTGGTGAGACTGTATCTGGAGTACTGTGTGTAGTACTGGACATCTTATGTAAGGAAGGAGTAAATGCATTGGAAGCAGTTCAGAGATGGTTTATCAAGCCTGAGACCTGGAATGGTTGGGTTATCTTACAAGAAAAAGCTGGACAGGCTATGTTTATATCTGCTAGAGTTTACAAGAGTGAGTGGTGATTTGATTGAAACATGTATAATCCTTGTGTGGGAGGAGAAGGGGGTGATGGGATGGATGTTGTTATGATCCCAGCTGCCGTTAATACTAGACAAGTCAGAGGCACAGTCAAACCTGGCTTGTTAGATCCAAAACTTTTCCTTCATTTTTAATCACAGATATACTGTCATAAAGTACGATGGAGTACAATGTTGATAAGTGTGAGGTCATCCATTTTGGTAGGAATAACAGCAAAATAGACTATGTTTTAAATGGTAAAAAATTGCAGCACACTGCTATGCAGAGGGACTTGGGTGTCCTCGTGCATGAATTGCTGAAGGTGGGATTGCAGGTGCAGCAGGTAATTAAAAAGGCAAATGGAATTTTGTCTGCCATTGCTAGAGGGATGGAGTTTAAAAACAGGGAGGCTATGCTGCAGATGTGTAGGGTCCTGGTGAGGCCGCACCTGGAGTAGTGTGTGCAGTTTTGGTCTCCTTACTTGAGAAGAGATATACTAGCACTGGAGGGGGTGCAGAGGAGATTCACTTGGTTGATTCCAGAGTTGAGAGGGTTGGATTATGAGGAGAGACTGAGTAGGCTGGGATTATACTCATTGGAATTCAGAAGAATAAGGGGAGATCTTATAGAAACATATAAGATTATGAAGGGAATAGATAAGGTAGAGGCAGGGAGGTTGTTTCTGCTAGCAGGTGAAACTAGGACTAGAGGGCATCGCCTCAAAATGAAGGGAAGCAGATGTAGGACTGAGGTCAGGAGGAACTTCTTCACCCAAAGGGTTGTGAATCTGTGGAATTTCCTGCCCAGTGAAGCAGTTGAAGCTACCTCGCTGAATGTTTTTAAGGCAAGGCTAGATAAATTTTTGAACAGTAAAGGAATTAAGGGTTATGGTGAGTGGGCGGGTAAGTGGAGCTGAGTCTCAAAAAGATCAGCCATGATCTTATTAAATGATGGGGCAGGATCGAGGGGCCAGATGGCCTATTCCTGCTCCTAGTTCTTATGTTGTTATGTTCTTATAAAAGGCTGTCAATGTGCTTTAACACCAGGAATAAAATGTTTATTACACAAGGCAAAAAAAAAAAACAGGTATGACCTATGTTATACTAGACAAAAAGGCTGGAAAGACTTCATTACAACACCAGAAACAAAATTCAAATTCACACTGTTCCTTTTATCTCAGCAATGTTCTTACAAACATGCAACCTCAAAAAAGAGTCACCGCTATCTCCACACTAAGGCTTCTTGTTCAGTGCTGGCAACATTGCAAACAGTTTTCTTTCACTACATTTCTGTACATTCAATGTCTGCCTTCATTCTGCATCTGGTATCTCTCCCTGACACCCTAAAACACACTACAAACTAAACTCACTATCACTTAGGTTAAATAAGTGGACAACACAATGGCAGGTGAGTATAATGTAGAGAAGTGTGAGTTTGTTACATGTGAACATACACACAAACATATGAAATACGTTCAGGCTTCTTTATGAGCATTTAAACCAATATAACACACATCATTTATATCAGCTTCCAATCTTATTAAATGTGCCAAACGAGGTGGATGTCACATGGAAATCAGAGCAAATACCTCGTTACTTCAGTTTGCTGCCTTCTTGTTGGACAGCAGACACCTTAGAGCACACTCCATGGGCACCAGACACACATCCATGGATATTGGCTTTGATTAAGCCCAACCTCTGTGAACCATCATAGCACAAGATCCACTTACAGGTCACTTCTGCACTACAAAGTCATTATTGTAATGTTGCAATAAGGCAACTGCACACTCAGGGACCCGTACCCAGCTCATGGACTAGACCAGACTGAATCTCCTCTCACTGTCTTCATGCTCACTTAGTCTAGCCTATCTGGATGCTTACAACATCTCTGCCTTACATTGTCTTGTCTTTTTGAGCTTTGCCCCTCAGCCAGAGATTCCAGGGTCACATTACTCCTGTCCAGGATAATGGAAATAGCCTTCACTCATGCATTATCAGCAGGATAATCAGCAGGAACTCAAGAGACGTCTCCGAAACCAGTCAGGGCCTGCTCAGGACGGCCAGTGGTAGATTGCTATCTACCTAAGCGGTGAAGTGCCATTGAGCAGCCCATTTCCCACCTTGACTCTTTCTGACCGACTGAGGGCTGTTTTTCTTCTGGAATAAAGAGAGGCAGGGATTACAGGAGATGAAAGTGGGTGACATAGCTGTTACTACTGGTGCAGGTGGGGAGGTGTCCCAGGTGAGTGAGTAGGCAGTGCAGGGATCACATAGGGTCAGTGGTGTTGGGGTTTGGGTTGGGTGACAGTGAACAAGGGAAGATGTTGCAGGCAATCCTGTCTCTCCTTGACCTTCTCCCTCCTCCACCTTCCCCTGACCTGACCGTCCAGCTCTTCGACCTTCCTTTCCTCCACCCTTCCCAATACTGCCAGTCTTTGACCGTCCATCTCCCTGACCCTCCCTCTCCCAAGAAGTGGGGGAACAGGAGATTTTTTTAACTATTTAATGTAATACGTGTGCCCCCCCCCCGCCTGGGCCAATATTTATTGCCCATCCCTTGAGAAGGTGATGGTTAGCTTCCTTCTTGAATTGCTGCAGTCCATGTACTGTAGATTGACTCTGAGGGAGGGAATTCCAGGATTTTGACCCAGCAACAATATATTTCTAAATCAGGATAGTGACTGGCTTGGAGAGGAACTTGTAGGTGGTGATGTTCCCATATGTCTGCTGTTATTTTCTTCTAGACGGAAACGGTCGTGGGTTTGGAAGGTGGTGTCGAAGGAGTCTTGGTGAGTCATTGGGAAGCATCTTGTGAGCATTTTCAGGATGGCAGTCTGCAACTATACAAGGCACTAGCTTGACCACTTCTAGAATCCTATGAATGGTTTCAGACCCCTTACTATGGAAAGATATACTGACATTGGAGGCAGTCCAGAAACAGCTCACTAAGTCGATTCTTGGTATAGAGGGACTGGATTATAAAGAAAGGTTGAGTAGTTTGAGCCTGTGTTCTTTGGAATTTAAAAGAATGAGAGGCAACCTTATTGAAACATGCACGATTTGTACAGACTGTGTAATGTGGACAGGTTGTTTCTCACTGTGGGAGAGTCTAGGAATAGACAGCATAATCTCAGAACAAAAGGTTAAGACAGAGATTTCTCAGGGGGTAGTGAATCTGTGGAATTCTTTTCTGTAGAGGGCTATTGTGGCTAAGTCATTAAGAATATTCATTAAGTTTATGTAGAGAGTTAGATATAGTCATAAATTCATACAGCATAGAAACAGACCCTTCGGTCCAACTCGTTCATGCCAACTAAGTTTTCCAAATTAAATGAGTCCCACTTGCCTGTGTTTGGCTCATGTCCCTCTAAACCTTTCCTATTCATGTACCTACCCAAAAATTTTTTATATATGGTAACCGTACCTGCACCTACCACTCTGGCAGTTCATTCCACTGTGAACCACCCTCTGTGCCTTAGGATTAAAGAGATCAAAGACTAGGGGAAGAAAGCAGCAGCAGGATACTGAGTTGGATGATCGGCCATGATTGTATTTAATGGTGGAGCAGACTGGAAGGGCCAAATGGCCCACACCTGATCCTATTTTTTATGTTTCTATATCCAAGTGCAAGGGAATCAAGGGTTATGAAGAAAATGCAGGAAAGTGGAAGTAAGGATTATCAGATCAGCCATCATTTCATTGAATGGCAGAGGAGATTTGATGGACTGAATGGTCTACCTCTACTCTTATGTTACTGGGCAGGTTATTGCAGAGCAGATGCTGCTTGATAGCACTGTTGATAACACTTTCCACCACTTTACTGATGATTGAGAGTAGACTGACAGGGCGGTAATTAGCTGGGTTAGATTTGTCCCGTTTTGCGGTGAATGGACATACCCGGGCAATTTTCCACATTGTCAGGTAGAGGCCAGTGTACTGGAACAGCTTAGCTATCAGCATGGTTAATCCTGGAACATTAGTTTTCAGTACTATTGCTCGAATTTTGTCAGGCCCTATTACTTTTCCTCTACCTAGCGCCTTCAACCATTTTTAAATATCACATGGAGTGAATTGATTTGGCTGAAGACTGGCATCTCTGTTGCTGGAGACCACCAGAGGAGGCCGAGATGGATCATCCATTCTGCACTTCGGCTGAAGATTGTTGTCTTAACTTTTGCACTAAAGTGCTGTCCTCCCTATATAAACGTAAGATCTTAGGAGCAGCAGTAGGCCACTTGGCCCCTCGAGACTGCTCCACCATTCAATACGTCCATGGCTGACCTGACTACTCCATATTCCTGCCTACATACTGTAACTTCCCACCTACTTGCTTATCAAAAATCTACTTGTGGCTTAAAAATATGCCAGACTTCTACTTCCATACTTTTTGAGTAGGCAAGTTCCAAAGACTAACAACGCTCATAGTAAAATATTTCTGTTTTAAATGGTTTGTGTTTTAAATGTTTTAAATTTCTATTTTATATTTTTAATGTTTTAAATTTCTCATTTCTGTTTTAAATGGTTGACCCTTTATTTATAAAGAGTGTCCCCTAGTTCTAAATTCTCCCACAAGAGGAAATATCCTCTCCAAGCCTACTCAATCATGACCCCCAAGTCAACTCTTAATCTTCTAAACTTCAGGAGATACAGCCTGTTCAAACTTCCCTCATAAGGCAATCCATTCATTCCGGGTATTAGTCTGGTAAACTGTCTCTGAACTGCACTATCGGATTTACATTCTTTCAAGTAAGGAGACCAATATTATCCCTAGTGGTGTCACCAATCACTTGAGTAACTGAAGCATAATCTCCCTACTATTGCAATTTCCATTGCAAAACAAAATAACATTCTATTAGATTTCCTGATTACTCATTTTACCTGCATACTAACCATGCACAAGGACACCTAAATTCTTCTGCATCTCAGTGCTCTGCTCCCTATCACCATTTAGATAATGTGCTTATATTTAATTCTTCTTGCCAAAATGGAAAATTTCACATTTTCCCTCATTATATTTGGCACATCTTTGCCCACTCCCTTTACCTATATATGACGATTGTAATAAAAGCAGAAAGTGCTGGAAAACTCAACAGTTCTGGCAGCATCTGTGGAGAAAGAAACAGTGTTAATGATTTGAGTTCAGTATTTTGTTTTTACATCTTTTGTAGCCTCCATGTGTCCTCTTCACAACCTATTCTCCTAGTTAACTTTGTGGTGTCATCAAATTTGTCAACCCTCTTTCCACCTAAGATATTTATATAAATTATAAACTGTTGAGCTCCCTGCACTGATCTCTGTGGCCCACCACTCATTAGATTTTACCAACCTGAAAAAGACCCATTATTGATTACTCTCCATTTCCTATTACCTAGCTGTGCCAAAATACTACTACTTACACCATGAGGTGTTATTTGCTGAAAAAAACTTTTGATGTGATACCTTGTCATATGTCTTCTGAAAATCTGGGTGCTGTATATCCACTGGATTCCCTTTATCCGCAGCATGTGTTACTTCCTCAGAGAACTCCAGAACAAATTGTTAAACATGATTTTCACTTCACAAATCATTGTTGGCTCTGCTTGATAACCTTGAGTTTAATTAAGTGCACTGTGGTAACGTTTTTAATATTGGCATCTGTCATAGGGAAAATGGCAGAAGCTAAATTAACTGGCTTCTCATTTTCTGCCTCCCGTTTTCCTGTTTTGTATATGAGTTACATTAGCTATCTTCCAATGCAGTAGAACCTTCTTCACTCAAAGGAGTTTGAGAAAATTAAAACCAATGCATCAACTATCTCTCTAGGCAATTCTTTTATGACCCCAGGATGAAGTCCAACAGGAACTGGGATTTGTCAGCTCCAACAATTGGCTCAATACCACTTTCCTGGTCTTTGTAATTTTCCTGAGTACCTCCCTTCTACTTTCTGATTTACAGCTATTTCTGGGACAGCACGGTGGCGCACAGTGGTTAGCACATACCATTCTCGGGCAGCTATCTGGTGGAGTTTGCACATGCTCCCTGTGTCTGCGTAGGCTTCTTCCCACAGTCCAAAGATGTGCAGGTTAGGTGGATTAGCCATGGGGAATGCAGGGTTACAGCGATGGGGTGGGGGTAGGTGTGGACAGGATGTTCTTTGAATGATCGGTGTGGACTCAGTGGGTTGAGTGGTCTGCTTCCTCACTGTAGGGATTGTATGATTCTATGAAAGTTAATTATATCCTTTACACTACATTGGGGGTCAGTTACCTTAGTTGCTGGATGGCTGGTTTGTGATGTAGAGTGGCATCAGCAGCATGGATTTAGTTCCTGCATTGGCTAAAGTTACCATGAAGGACTCTCCATCTCAACCTCTCCCCTTGCCTGAGGTGTGGTGACCCTCAGGTTAAACCACCACTAGTTGTCTCTCTCTCTCTCTAATGAGAAAGCAGTCATAGAGTCATATAGCATAGAAACAGACCCTTCAGTCTAACCAGTCCATTCTGAACATAATCCCAAACTAATCTACCCTCACCTGCCTGCTCCTGACCCTCCAAACCTTTCCTATTCATGTACTTATCAAATGTCTTTTAAATGTTGTAATTGTACCCACATCCACCACTTCCTCAGGAAGTTCATTCCACACACGAACCATCCTCTGTGTAAATAATTTGCTCTTCATGTCTTTTTTTTAAATCTCTCTCCTTTCACCTTAAAAATGTGCCCCTTAGTCTTGAAATTGCCCCATCTTAGGTAAAAGACACCTACCATTAACCTTATCTATACTCCTCATGACTTCATAAATTTCTGTCAAGTTGCCCCTCAACTCCTATGCTCCAGTGATAATAGTCTCTGCCTATCCAGCCTTTCTTTTTAACTCAAACCTTCTATACCTGGCAACATCCCAGTAAATCTTTTCTGAACCCTCTCCAGCTTAATAATATCCTTCATATAACTGGGCGACCAGAACTGGAGACAGTGTTCCAGAAGAGGCCTCACCAGTGTCTTGTACAACCTCAACATGACTTCCCAAGTCCTATCCTCAAAGGACTGAGCAATGAAAGCAAGCATGCTAAAAGTCTTTTTAACCACCCTGTTTATATGTGATGCTAACTTCAAAGAATTATGTACCTGAACCTCTAGATTCCTCTGTTTTTAGACTACATTGTTGAGAATGGGTATATTTGCAGGGCTTTCCTGTCCTCTCACTGCATTCTGTCTATTTGCCAGAGCTCAGATACATCACTCACTCCCACTGTTTTCTTTGCTGGTGATTTTAATGACTCACATTACTTTGACACAATGGCAGAACTTGTTCCCATAATACATTGCTCACAAATTCGCTGCTGAAATTAATTTTGTCACTTCGATTGAATTATATTCTGAATTGTAAACAATGAAAATCACCCTGAGGAATGCTGTGTTCAACCAAACCCCTCCATGATGACATGCTCACAACTCCACTTGCTCATTGAGAGCCACACATATTACTGAATCTTCCAAGGAGGGCCATTCATAGTTAGGATGCTGCTCTGCTTCATTTTCTTTATCTTCCCCTGGAGGATTCTGCCCCAAATTACTAATTCAAGCCCCTGACGACATGCAGAAGGATAACTGTTCAGGAAGCTTGCTGATTTGATTGGCAGACAGATAGGTGAAGGGTAAGGGTGACAGGTGAGGAGGAGGGTAGTGAGAAAGGGTGGATCATATGGAGGGGCTAGTTGTGTGGATGCTGGGTGCAATCAAATCAAGGCTGTTGGGTGTGTATCTGGTGGAGTTGGTTTGGGAGGGAAGGGGTGTCAGGTCCGTGTGGGCTGTCAGGCCGGGGGAGTTGTGTCAGTTCGGGGAGTGGTGGGGATGTGTGATTGGGGGTCTTAAAGTTAATGGGGTGTCAGACCAGGTTAGGAGATGCTGTGGGGGAGACGGGGTGATGTTGATTCAGAGTGGGTGGGAAGGTTTTGGAAGGTGCATGGAGGCGAGGTAGTCGTGGTGAGTCGGGCAGGGATGAGGGAATGGGTTGGAAGTTCAGTTTAATAGTTAGCCATGAGTTAGAGCATGTTTCACTCCGATTATGGTTCCTCAGTTAGCGAGTCAGGCCCCTGTAAAGTCTGCAGCTCAGAGGTGCTGATGAAGGGTCTAGGCCCAAAATGTCGGCCTTCCTGCTCCTATGATGCTGCTTTGCCTGCTGCTCTACACCTTGTTAGCTCAGAGGTGGGACTTGTTGGCAGATGAACTGATAGAGGTGGCAGGGCAGCAGATAGAGGCACACCATTCTGTTCACTGAGCTCTCTCTGATCACATGCATTGTCTCTCCATTCAGATCTCGAGGCCAGACTTCCAGGATTGAAAGGGAAACTCATCACTTCTTGGGAGGAGAAGTTGGGAGTGGCACATGTGAGAGAGATGCGCTATAGTGAGGGGGCCTTGGAAATCAAGCGCCAAGGTCTATACTACATTTATTCCCAGATTTTATTCCGTTACCATGCAGATTATCCCATGAGCACAAGAGAGTATCAGCTGGTTCAATATGTCTATAGGAAAATGGCCAAATACCCAAAGCCAACTTTGCTTCTGAGAGGTTCCAGCACTTGGTGCTCAGGGAACCACAACTTGTATTCGGTCTATCAAGGAGGTGTGTTCACCCTGAACAGTGGTGACAAACTCTTTGTGACTGTGTCAAATCTAACGCTGGTAGATGCTGATGAAGCATCCAGTTACCTGGGAGCATTCAAACTAGATTAAATGAAGTTTATATCAATATGGTTTTTAATTCCCTGTCTCTAAATATGAAAAGTGAATATCAACAATTTAAAAAAAGAAACAATTGTGTTTAGATGGCCTGTTGTGACACACGTGCAGAGCAGGTGGAGCTTGAAATTGGACCTTCTACCTAAGGCTGGGACTCCCTACTTAATGCTGAACAAGTAAATTCTCATACTGTTAAGTTCTTCGAGTTAGGTCATTGCTCTGCTTCAATAGGGAGAGTAAGTAGAGGCTATCAATCATGTAAATATACCCAAAATAAACTATTTCAGATTGCCCATGGGCAATTGACAATGGTTGGATGTTAATTTTGATGGATTCCAGACCTGTAAATAATGAACAGATCATTAGGTTTGAGGGCCAGAGCCAATGTGAAGTTATAACAGACCTCTCAGGACCAGACACAGACCAGAACTGCTGTTAGCAATGGGACATAATAAGCCCCCCTCTTTTAAGCAGCAAAGAAAATGAGTGAAATAGAAACGGAAAGTGCTGGAGAAACTCAGCAGTGCTGGGAGTGTCTGTGCAGAGAAAACAGATTTAACGTTTTGAATCCAGTATGGCTTTTCTTGAGAACTGAAAGGAGCTGGAAAATGATAAGTTTGTGTTAAATGATAAGGTTCAACCTTTGACTGAAATGGAGATGTGCCTGTGACACCTTTTAACATGCCACCCCTGTGTACGTCTTTTAAAATGATCAATACATCTGCAATCTGAAATAGACCCAATTCCAACCTCGATCCAGCCTGAGTTAGCTCATTTCCAATTCAGTGTTCACCCTTGTCTCACGTCTTGTGCATTGAACATTCCCAAGCCTGGTTCCCCAACACCGTTCCACCCCCCCAACACACACACACACACACACACACACACACACACACACACACACACAGAGCACAGTAGGTGGAGAGAGAGATAATTCAAGTCGCCGATCTGACAAATCCCAAATTCTGAGATTCCTTGAAAGAAAGATCTTGTCATATGGACACTGAAAATTGACGATGACAATGTTGGAGTCACGATATTGAGCTATCTGACCCTGACTGAAGCCATCAGGCAACTGAGGAGGCCTACATTTTTGGCTGATTGTCAACGTCTCCGCTCATTAACTTTTAAGATTGGGATTGACTGCTGATTGAAGGGACTTGTGAATAAGAGAGACACAAACAGAAAACAACTTGTGTAAAGGATTAAACAGCCATCATATATTCCTTTGCCTGAATGACATGCTTGTGTGTCATTGATTGAGCCAACCAGGAGTTATACAGTCGACTGCTCAGCCATCTGTTCATAAGACGACTCCAGCAGTGTTCCATGGCAGTCTTGTGGGTCAGGCACTTTTGTTTCAATATTGTCCTTTAATCTGATGGAACTAGCAAAGCTGAATTCTGGGCAATTTAAATCACGACTCCAAACTGTTGCCAGAGTGTGGCCATAAGATTGCTGATTCCCTTTGAGAAAAGGATTCAGGATGGGCACTATGACCCCATGGACACTATGATTGACCAGGTATGTGAAGTAATTCCTGAGCAATGCTAGTCAGTGAGGAAACAATCAGGAGCCCAGTCTTACTAATCCAGCTGAAGCATTGCAGTTCAGGAGATGGTCCAAATGAAGCTTCCTCTGACACATGCTAAGTCCAGAGGGAGGACCTGTGTACCAAAGCCACAAACAAGTGATGTGATGAATGATTACTTAGCATAGACAAAAGCTGTATCAGAATGTTTGGGTCACCATTTCAAAGGATTGAGCACCACTCAAGCATTTCCCATCATACTCATCCTGACCCCTGTCTTCTTGATATTCATTACCAATAAGCAAAACTGTTTGTCCAGTCCTGTCTTGAGATGCAATTAGCCCAATGCCTCTCAAAGACTTTTCTTCATAGAAAATGGTGACACAAGAAGACCAGTATCCATTTGTTAGGAGTTCTATGTCCTTCTCAGTATTATTGAAAAGTGGAAAATGAGCTTGTTGTCATTATTCTGTAAATCTGTTTGAGGGAAGTCTGGATGTGATCTGACCAGATCTGTTTATATTTGAACTTTATTTCACAATCTGCCATTCACTTTGAATTTCAGGAGTACTGAAAGACTTGTTGTAAAATGTAATAAACTGTCCTTTTGAATCTGTTTTAAATAAAGATTTTGAGCATATTGTTTTGCATCAACACAGATCGGCACCTTTCAAATTAGAGAAGAGGGTGCAGATTGCTTGGAAAAATATGCACTCAACAACAACAGCAAGGAGAATGTTATGGGGATCAAAGTATCCAGTGTTTACAGTGAAAATGGTCAGAAGAACACATGACACCAGGTTATAGTCCAACAGGTTTATTTGAAATCACGTCACCTGAGGAAAGGGCAGCACTCTGAAAGCTTGTGATTTCAAATAAACCTGTTGCATTACAACCTGGTGTTGTGTGACGTCTGACCTTGTCCACCCCAATCCAACACCAGCACCTCCATATCATGAATGAAGATGGTATGGATTCAGAAACTCACCTTGGAGTCACCAGATTGCTGGCGAGTCAGAGACAGAAGATGAAATATTCAAATCTGGTCTGTGTTTTTTGAAGAATTATATTTCAAGTTTCAAGGAGTAAGATCCCAGTCTTGTTTAATTCTGCAGGCTGCTGGCATGGAGCTCATATGAGTTCCCTTATACATTACATGCTTATCTAGGTGCTGTGAGGGAAAAGGTTCCCTACAAAATCACACACTTCAGTTCCTACTCTGATATGTAACGATAATAATGATATATATCAGAGAGATGAAATCAGGTGTTAGAATTTCCCACTGAATCTGTTGATAATGGGTGCAGTTCTCCAAATATTTAATGGGGTTAAATTTCTGCTTATCCAGTACTGGATTTTTCAGATAAGTAGAGTGACAAATTGGAGGCAGAGGCCAAAGTTGGAGTGTAATCAACTCGGGAGTTGACAGTGTACATGCAAAACTTAATGTGGCATCACCAAAGTGGAAGCATATAGATTGGAAGCAGTCAGGATAAAGGGCTGATCCTGAAGAATACCAGACGGAATGGTGCAGGATCAGGAAGAGTAGGCATTGCAGGTTGAAGTAGACTCATGTTGGACTTGAAATGTTAATTCTGTTTCTCTTCCCACAAGGGTGGCATGGTGGCTTAATGGTTAGCACTGCTGCCTCAGCGCCAGGGACCTAGGTTCGAATCTAGCCTTGGGTGACTGTCTGTGTGCAGTTTGCACATTCTCCTCATGTCTGTGTGAGTTGCTATGCTAAATTGCCCTATAGTGTCTAGAGATGTGCAGGCTGGGTGGGTTACCATGGGAAGTGCAGGGGAACTGGGTGGGATGCTCTTTAGAGTTTCAGTGTGGACTTGATGGGCCAAATAGCTTGCTTCCACACTGTAGGGATTCTTCCCTATGGAAGGATGCTGCCAGGCCTGCTAAGTTTCTCTAGCACTTTTTGTGATTCTACGGTTGATATCACAATGCAGTTTGTGGGAGTTCGCTGCGTGCAAATTATCTGTTCTGTTCTCTATCATGTTTGATTTTGGGATACCAGACACGAACAGCTTGTGGATAAGGCCATTTTAACTGAATCTTAATGAGAAAGAGGCTCTTGCCTTAAACTCGATGTGGCCTTTTGCACGCCAACAATGAGGTACAAGTTAATTTGGCATGATAGACATTGTATGAGGAGTCCTGTGACATGGGTCCGTGCTCCAAGAGATCTTGAGATTTTCTGCCTTATTCCCACTCAACTCTGTCTGAACATTATCACATTGGGTCGAGCTTTAAGCAGTCTCTCACCTTAACCCTTTCAGAACAATTACCTTACACAACACTCCCTACATCACAACAGTGACTACATTACAAAAACAGTGACAGTAAAGCAAAATGGAAAGTCCAAAGATGGTGCCATATATAAAAGTATAAAACTTCTTTTTCTTAATGGTGTTCACCTTTTCACACAGTTTTGTCAACATGCACCCACGAGGAACCCTGACGTAAGCTATCTGTACAAGCTCTTTGGGATCAGGTGAATCCATAGAGTGTGAAGGCAATAGGAGAATACTTAAGAGGAAAATCAAGAGGGCAAAAAGGGGATATGAAATAGCTTTGGCAAATAGGGTCAAGGAGAATCCAAAGCAATTCAACAAAGGGCAAAAGAGTAACTAGGGAGAGAATTGGGCCCCTCAAAGATCAACAGGTTCATCTGTGTGTGGAACCACAAGAGATGAGTGAGATACAAAAATGAATATTTCACATCAGTATTTACCATGAGAAGGACATGCAAGCTAAGGAACATAGTGATGTCTTGAAAAGTGTCCATATTACAGAAGACAAGGAGGTCTTAAATGCATAAAGGTAGATAAATCCCGAGGAACTGATCAGGTGTATCCCAGAACTCTGTGGGAAGCTAGCAAGGAGACTGCTGGGCCCCTTGCTGACGTGTTTGTATCATTGACAGCCATGGGTGAAGTGCTAAAAAACCAGAGGGTGGCTAATGTGTGCCGTTATTTAGAATCATAGAATCCCTGCAGCGTGGAAGCAGGCCATTTGGCCCATCGAGTCCACACAGACCCTCTGAAGAGCATCCCAACTCCCTATCCCTGTAACTCTGCATTTCCCATGGCCAACTCACCAAACCTACACATTCCCAGACACTATGGACAATTTAGCATGGCCAATCCACCTAACCTACACACCTTTCGACTGTGGGAGGAAACCCACGCAGACGTGGGAAGAATGTGCAAACTCCATGCCCAAGGGTGGAATCAAACCTGGGTCCTTGGTGCCACTGAGCTAGTGAGCTGCCCCATTTAAGAAAGGTGGTAAGGAAAAGCCAGGGAACTATAGACCAGTGAGCTTGCCATTAGTGGTGTGTAAGTTGTTGGAGCGGATTTTGAGGGAAAGGCAAAGACTGATTTGGTGTTGTCAACATGACTTTGTGGGAAATCATGTCTCACTATCTTGATTGAGTTTTATGAAGAGGTAACAAAGATTGTGGAAGGCAGAGCACTAGACATTATCTATATGGATGTCAGCAGGCCATTTGACAAGGTTCTGCATGGTAGACTGGTTAGCAAGGTTAGATCACATGGAATCAGGAGAGCTAGCTAATTGTACACAAAATTGGCTTGAAGGTAGGAGGCAGAGGGTGATGGTAGATAGTTACTTTTCAGACTGGAGGCCTGTGACCAACACTGGGCTGCAAGGATCGATGCTGGGTCCACTGTTTTTTATCATTTATATAAATGATTTGGATATGATTACAGAAGGTATGGTTAGTAAGTTTGCAGATGACACCAAAATTGGTGGTCTCATGGACAGTGATGAACAATATCTCAGAGTACAATGGGACCTTGATCAGATGGGCTAATAAGCTGAGGAGTGGCAGGTGGAGTTTAGATAAATGTGAGGTGTTGTATTTTGGTAAGACAAATCAGGACAAGACTTATACACTTAATGGTAAGACCCTGGGGCGTGTTGCTGAATGAAAAGACCTAGCACCTAGGTGCATAGTTCCTTGAAAGTAGAGTTGCAGGTGGACAGGGTGGTGAAGAAGTGTTTGGTACATTTGCCTTCATTGGTCATAACTGAGTATAGATGTTGTGATGTCATGTTGCGGCTTTACAGGATATTGGTGAGGCCATTTTTGGAATACTGTGTTCAGTTCTAGACTACCTGCTATAGGAAAGATGTTAAACTTGAAAGGGTTCAGAAAAGATTTACAAGGATGTTACTGGGTTGAAGGGTTTGAGCTATAGGGAGAGGCTGATTAGGCTATCTTTTCTGGAGTCAGAAGCTGAGGTTTATAAAATGATGAGAGACATGGGTAGGGTGAGTAGCCGAGGTTCTTTTCCCAGGGTAGGAGAGTCCAAAACTAGAGGGCATGTGTTTAAAGTGAGAGGGGAAAAAAATTAAAAGGGACCTGAGGGACAACTTTTTCACCCAGTGGACTGTGAGCATATGGAACAAGCTGCCACAAAAAGTGGTGCAGGCTGGCACAATTACAACATTTAAAAGG